TCAACTCAAATTTAGTTGGTTTTAGATTGGGACATAATATTTGGAGCTGGAAGTATACCAGAAACCCTGGGACATACATACCGCCACTGAAATTATACCCCAGTCGCCTTCATTATTAAACTTTTTATGAGTGTTCTTTTTATGATGCCTTCAATAAATCTTAAATATACACAAAGAAGAAAGAGGGTAGGATAATTTCAATTCAAGTTTTGTAAAAATAATTTATTGCTTATCATATCATAATCATTGTTGTTATATTACAGGCACTATTTAGAAAAAAAATCATGTTCTTTCCTCAAGGGGAATAAATTCATGCATTACCTCGAACAAGAAAATATAAGTAGGAATTATAATACCAGTGTAATAAAATACATTGAACCACACAGACGGATGATAAAGCAAGTGGAGGTTATTCACTCGGCACAGTTTGTCCTGTGCAGTGTCTTAAATCTGATTTTACAAAGAGAACGTTCCCAAAGGGGAAAGGCTTATAAACAAAGTCAGGATTTAGAAGCAGACGCCAGACTAAAGCCTCTAAATTCTCCCCTCGATCAGTTTATGCGCCAGAAGTCAATGTGTTTGGATGGCATTTGTTTATTCCTTGTAGAACGGCCTCTCCAGGATTGGGACGTGTGAGGTTCTGCCTTTAACCTGCCTGAAGGCCAGCGTAAGCAGCAGCCATCTGAAAGCTACCACTGCATCTGTCCATGCTCTTCCCATAAAGCTCTGAGTGAAGACTTCCTGTTGACATTTTATGCCAACAGAAACCTGGTCCCCTGAGAACCAGTGATTCTCTTCCAATAGCACCGCCAATTCCGTTTTCCTTTTTGGCCTCCCTGTCAGCAAGCTCAGAAGAACACTCCTGTCGCTTAGAATGAGCACATCTGCATTTGTTCTTGCCTTCTCTGATTGTTCTAGGTTATGAAGTCCTTGTTTATGTGATATTTGTTCTAAGCGACTTCAGGTCCTTTTTTAAAAAGGGGCTTGAGTAGAAAAGCAAATAAATGCAAACTCTCTCTCCCCTCCACCCCCACCCCAAGCAGACAAGGCATTGCTGACATCTGGGTGTTAGCCACAATGGCCTTGACGTACCCAGGCAGCAGCACCCGCTGCTGGCTGCCTTTCCAAGTCGCAGCAGCTGCCCGGGGCTCCGCGGGGAGGAGCAGGAAGGAGAGGAGGCAGCAATGCTCTTATGGGCTTAGCTCTCTGCATATGAACTTCCTGACTCTGCATCTAGTGGTTTATGGACTCCCAGGTCCACTGAGCATCTGAAGAATGCGTTCATTGCCTGGGAAACGGGAGAGGAGTCCCAGAGGGAAATGGACAGAGCAAGGCTGACAGGTTAAGGACAGACGGCTGCCCTCTCCCTCCGCTAGGAGGGAGGTTCTATTGGGCCCTTCCGTCCTTTTCTGATGCACATGCTAAGGAGGGGACAGGAAAGAAAAGAGGCTGCTTGCAGAGGGAAGCGCCACAGTGAGGCCCGTTTATCTACCATGACCCACGTGTGCTGCTGGAAGTACATAGCAACGCCCCCTGTCTGCGTTTATGGGCAATTATACCGGCTGCCAATGTGTGTCCTTCACCCAGGGCACTGCCTCTCCTGAAAAGTGGACTTTCGTTTTAGTAAAGTAATTTTCCCCCACAAAATACAAAAGAATGTAATACATTGTCTTTATTGTCTGATATTACAGATTTGTTTTACACTTCTTTCTTTCGTTCTTTTTTTTTTTTTTTTTACAGACCAGGGGAATGAATAAAGGTAAAAATGTGTCCAGCATTTTGCAAACATCCTTTGTTACACACAAACACACACAATGAATAATAGGAAAGAGAATACAGAAGAATTAAAAGGCAGATTGAAATCGGACAGGCTGTGGTTCTAATCGATCCATGGGAAGAACGTGAAACTTTCTGATAGTCCTGGGGGGCGGGGCGTATTGTCATACACAGCTTGGTACATGCACTTGAAATGAAAGCTGCTTTGTTTTGCTTCCACTGGATTATTATTACTGGTTGAGTATGCTGCTCCCTCTGCTGGCCTCTGAACCGCAGGGTGAGACACAGGGTTTCCATTTAGGAGTTTGGGCTGCAGTGCGAGCTGCAGAGTCCCTATTCCTAGCGATGTAGGTGAGAACCCCGGGAGCTCCCAGGGCAGGAAGGTCCTGTCCTCAGTGATCACAGGAGGCTGACGGTGTCCTATTCTTTTGAGATGACTGTCACCCATGGTAGGGATTCTGCTTGGGAGCATGAAACAATGGGACGTGAATAAGTACTGAGTCCCGTCTTTCTCTCAAAAGATTGAATACGTTTTGGTGAGCAGTGGGGAACTGGGACTTGAGAATTATGCAATAAGAAGAGACAGAGTTGGCTAATTTTTTATAAAAAGAGGTTCCACGCCTTTTCAGTAAAATGGAAACTGACTGGTTATTCGCAGCATCACAGGACGCCCCGTGAGCGTCTGCGTGCTGTGGGCTTTACCGAGTGCGCCTTTAGCGTCTGTGATGGGCACCTTTCTATTAGGAGAGGGGTTTGCTCCACAACCCAGAAAGCATGAGGCTGGTTTGAAACTGAGACCCCCCAGGAGATCTAAAAAGTGTCCCACAAATTACAATCTGTTCCCCTTCTCAAAGGTGTAATAGTTCTTTTGATGCTGACAGTAGCCATAGTTATAAAAAGGGCTAAATTTATTTCAATTCAAGCACTATATTGAAAAGGAAGCAAATTAGTATGATTTTTTTCTCTCTTTCCAAACTGAAGCATGAACATACATTAGAGGCAAAAGCAATGAGAAAAACAGCAGGACGGCAGGCCCCTCCACTGTTAGTTAAGACCTGCAGTAGGGAACATAACTTACTCCCTGCTTCAGTTCTTCTTCCTACAGAAAGATGGAACCAATAACAGTTAGGTTACCCAGGGTTCCGCGAAGAGCATACATACAGGGTGAAGGGGTGCAAGGTGGGGACACATCAACACAGCTTTGGTGGCAGGTCAGCTCTCTTTTTACCTCCGTGACTTCAGTCCTAAGTCTTAGGTATCAGCAACTATGGACTCACCTCTTTTCTCCCTGTGCCACCATCTTTCAACACAACCTGTCTGTCCTGGTGTCTGTACATCCTGATACCTCAGACTGCTCATTAGGTCAATGCCCCGATGGCTGGTGGTAAATAGACTTCTATCCCAGTGCTATGGTGATAGAATTTACAGGAATATAAGCAGGGGGGTGTTTGCAGAGCTCCCTGCCACTCAGTGAAGAGGAAGATGGGATCGGCCTTCTTCATTTGGTATATTTGGAAAGGAAAGCAGAAAGAGCTTCTCAGGGTCATCAAACAAGAGAACTGGCCAGAAACAGTACCAGGTTGTTAATGATCTGGTCCCATCTTAACACACACAGAACAACAAAAACCGCATTCTACATATCGCATGTCTAACATGCTGATGGTAGCATAGTAACGAGAAAGCTTTCCTATAGCAGGGCCTGGCAGGTTCCACGGTAGGTTTGCACCAGTATTTGTTAAAGAAAAGGAAGGAAGGAAGGA